ATATGAAATTACTGTCTTTGGATTATTCAATGTATCATTTGATATATCTTCTAAAACATCCACAGTATCACCAACACAAAGGTTCACATCTACTCAATCATCATTATCAACTATAGTATAGCTAATACTATTGAAATATTTTACGGTTTGTGATGTAAGATGTTCAATACAACCAAGTTCTTCTTTATATGCGTGTCTAAGTTCAGCAAATAAATCATCATTAAGAACTTTCTCAAAGCCAGCAGTCTGTAGGTCATTTTTGTTATATGCTTTTCAGACTCTTATATTGATAAAATTTTCATCCATGCAGGTTATATTATATATCTCTTCCTACTCTGAATCTATTATTGATGGCGAAATGTACCATGAATCAAGCAGCATACGTACACATCGATCCTTTGACAATATGCTAAAATTAAAGTATGTTGTCTTATCATATTTTTCGTCAATACTACCATCCATTAGAAACCGTAATGCTTGCAAACAATTATTACAGCGCATAAAATCCAGTTCTATATTTTTTTTATTTGAATGAGAGATAATAGCCTTGAAAAGTTTATGCAACATTTCCTTCATAGCAACTGAAATATTCACTAAAGTCGCAAAATTCTGTGCATGCATAATAAAATGGCATAATATATGAAAATTCGGTAATCGACTAATATTGGAAAAAACCTGAAAAAAAGGTTAAATTGTCCGAAACATACTAACCAAACTATCAATATTAAATTTTTGATTACCTTCGCAACCAGTCTGGACTATAGTATTATACTTTGTTAAAGATTGTTATAATTAATATCGGAAAATTCTTTGTGAAATATCAGAGACACCATTCGAGAGAAATAAACCCATAAACCTAACAATTTATCCAGAACCTGACTTTTCGTTATTGTGCATGTCTCAATTATGTATTCGACAAATGTTTTATTTAGCATCGTGATATGTAATGCCCGATTAATGAGAAATAGCATAATCATACTTAGACAAAGATAATCAGAAAAAAAGTATGAGCCTAAATGGGTAATTGGATTTTGTTGTCGAGACCAATATGAAGGAAATTCGAAGTCATGCCAAACTTTCAAAAATTCGGTCTCTCCTTTTGAGGATAAGATTTCAAATGTTAATTGAAGCATTTCTTTGGCAAGACCACCCATGCAATGAAAAGTATCATGCAGACATTGAAGATGACGATCACGCATAACGTTATCAAAAATAGGGGTTTTTCTTGTATACCGTATTGCATAGCAAGTGCATCACGTTGTGCTTGAGTCTGAACTCTCCTTATGGTAGAAAATTGCAATATGGTTTTGTGATAGTAACGACTATGTCTCGCAGTGTCAAAACTAATATTATCCAATTCACTATGATGAATCATACAGTTACAGCATCCATAATGTGCATTGTGATTCTTTACTCCTGCCTGTTCATTACCTTCCGGTAAGTCACTAGTAATGACACCTAATCCACCAGTAACCCACACAGTTTGATTACCAATTTTCAATTCATATCCACGTTTGAAGTCCTGAATATCATTAATAAGTGGTTGGAGTACTTCATCACTCGTTGCTGCAAATGGGATAAAACCAAGAAGAAATTGATTTTTAAGCTTTTGACGAAGTGTTTGTTTCATATTACCGATTTGTAAGTAGAGGCCACTGATGGCGTGATATGCAGTATGAAACAGACTGAATTTGTCGATATAAATGTCAAGAAAAAATTTGAATATCGGCAAATTATGCAAATGATCCCAAATCGTGATATATTCAATGGGATAAAGGTGTCGTAAATCAATCGACCTTGTGGTCTACCGCATATTTACATAATACACAATTTCAGATATAATGTATTGATAGTTATTAGGCTTGTTAACATCAATTAACCAAATATCAACTTTGGATTTAATCTTTGCAGGATTTATGA